ATATGGCTACCTATTCACAGAATATATACATATATATGATATTTTTTCATATTCCCATCAGAGCCCTAATTAATCAACACATTTAAAATAAAAATATGATCTCCACTTCCATATCTTATTCTCAACTCTTTCACCCATTATGCCTCATCCATTACAACAGAGGAGATAAAACAAATTTAGGGAATTTAGTAATTGAATTAATTTTGCATATAGACAAATTCTTTTTGCTGCTACATTGATTTTAAACAACACAACAAGAAGAATAATCTTTGCCTCCAGAAACTTAAGGAAATGCCAAAAGAGATGCAACACACTCTGGCCTGTCTCCTTGATGCTGTCCATCACTGTATTTTAAATATCTATGTCTAACCACTGTTGATTCGTATTATTTTGTCTTGAAACCCTGTATCACTTTGAATGTTCTTGCTTTGATTTGTTTATGTTTGTGATACTGGTATGCTACTACTATTCTATTTTTTTGTTTGTGTCTCATGTACTACTCTCTTTAAAATAAAAAAAAAATCTATGTCTATGATGAGATTATAAGACTCTGGAGGGCAGAGTCTAAGTCCATCTTATTCACTGTGTGAGCTCTAAAAACTTGAGCAGTGCCTGGTTGATATGCAGGGGTGTCTATATGAAATATTCTTGCCTGAATAAGGTGTTCAGGTCCATTGGAATGTCATAGAAATAATTTCATAACTGAGTAATAGAAACAGCTATTTAAAAACCCTACTGACTTGGCAAACAAATCTGGGCCTCCAAGGACTAAAGCCAAGCCGATTCATTCCTTACATGCTGCAAGGCTTTCTGCCAAATCTTCACACCAGGACAGCAAAAGACAGTCCCATGGCACCATGTGGACGTGTTCTGGGCTTGGCAGAGGGACCATACTCTGAGGGGCTCCATACGTGATAAATGAATGAAGCATCTCGCACACCCTATGAAGTGTAGTTCCTCTGAGAAGTCAGTCATCTTCTGTTCATTTTCATGATCTATTTTATGCATAGTTAACAGAGTGAGGGTGCAATACCAGCATTTCTCAGTGTCTAAAGTGAATATCTTAACTTATGGATTCTGTAAACATTTATGGAGTTATCCACCATACATTATATGATTGTGAGGGTAGAGAGAAGGGGCCTAAATGAGATGAATATGAGAGCAGACATGTTTACATTTCATAGAGGGTCCACTAATGGAGAGTAACTGCTACAACAAACAATTCCACGTTCCAGTGGCCTTACAAAATATAAGATGAGGCCTCACTCATTCATGCAAAATACAGTGCAGATTTTCCTAGCTAAGCAGCTTTCCTAGGAGCTCTCCTCTGAGTGCGCCCCAGGGACTCAAGCTCCTTTCACCTCACGAAACCACTGTCTTCAGTGTGGGACCTCTAAGTCCCAATCGAAGGGGAAGCAAGAGAGAAAAGTATAAAATGTGGAAGGTTTTTATAGGCCAGTCTGGACATAGCAGGTGTCAGCAAGGGTGATGATTATGAGTCTAACATAAGTGCAGATGGGAAATGAAGCCAGTATGGAGAACATGTAGCATTACTTCTCCCCCAGAGTATTAGCAAAGTTCTCTTCCCTTACAGTTCAGCATAAATCAGGCAATCACAAACTAAGAAGCAATATAGTATAGTAAGAAGTATCATTACATATAGTATCATGACATTAGTTTAATTAAATTTGATATAATTAATTATATGTATATTTGTTTGCACTATTTTCTATCAAATCTCTAATAAGTTTGTCCCCATCTCAGTTTTGTAAACCTTCTTATGAACTTTAGCACTAATTCATCCCAGCAGCCACTCAAAATCAGGCTGACACATTTGAAATGGTTATTGTACGAGAGTGATCCACTTTCTCCATTGTAGTAGAGATGACCTTTATAAAAATCTAAGGCCTAATCATTTTAGTTAATTCAAAACAGGTGGAAAGTATCTTACAGGAAGTCATTTGTTATGCACAAGATCAAGCTGAAATGTCATCACCTCTCTGCAACTCGCCCTCTCCTTGAGACTTCCTATCCCAGATATAATTAATTGCCCCTCATCTGCGGGTTCACAGCATTTTAAAGACAGCACTTTAGAGTGAATCGCATTTTCGTATAGTTATTTGCTTGCGTATTTGTCTTCCCCATAGGCTTGAATTCTTTTAAGCGAAGGGAGGATGTATCTGCAGAGCTATTTCCAAACAACCCAGCCCTAATGTGTGAGAACTAGTCCCAGGGTGCTGAAGAAAGAGGAAGACAGATCCAGGACTGCATGGAGTGTATTTTATGAGAGACTTTTCCAGTAGCATGGCCCTAGGTGATAGCAAGACCAGGTTGACCTGCATGCTTTGAGTTAGAAATAGGGGTGTATATAATGGTCA